GCGCTGGCAGCAGGTCCTTGTGCACCCACACTGTTTTTTTAGGAGACGGGGGTCTCACTACATTGCCCAGCCCGGGCTCCAGTTGTTGGGTTCAAGTGATCCTCCCGCCTCAGCTTCCCAAGTGGCTGGGACCAGAGGTGCCACTGTGCCGGCCCCTTGTGCCCATCCACGTGGCAGTCAGGAGCGGCCTGGGAACTGGTTGAGCGAGCGGGGCTTGGGCCCGGGCCTTTGCGGGCCGAGGCTGGGCCTGCGGCGGGCGGGCTGCCTGCTGGCCCAGCCGGCCTCTGCCACACCGAGGGGCGCAGCGGGCGGCGCCGGGCCGGCTCCTGGTCCCGGGCGCAGGCGCTGGGTGAGTGCGCTGGCCGAGCCATCCTCGCCGCTGTCGGGCGTGTGTGTCCGCAGCGCGGCTTCTGAGGCCACCGGTCCCGCGTGGAGGCGCTGGGGACGTTCGGTCTCTGCCGGGAGGGGCGCAGGCCTGCACGTCCGTGTCCACGTCGGCGGCACTGAGGGTTTCTCCTGCCTTAGTCTTTTTCCGGCCGGTGTGTTTTCGTTTGTTTCGATGGTGTGTGTAGTTCCAGTTCTGCGGGACTTCCCGTCCTCGCTCTGCGGTCCAGCGTGCGGGTTGGTGGTCCCCGGCCACGAGGACCTGGGAAACGCAGAAACGGCAACCGGCTTCTCCCCCTCCTGGCTGCAATGCCGTGGGCAGGCGAACGGCGTCCGCAGTGGGTTTTCAGGGTCCTCCGACACGTGGTGGCAGTCAGATTCTCTCCGTGCCCGGATTCTTCCCTCAGACCCTGTTGCGGTCCCGCGTGGAGAGGCTCGCCGTGCCTCCGGGCCCTGCCCCCAGAGAGCCCTCCCGCTTCCCTTCGTGCCCCTGAGTGGGCCTGGTCCCGGCCATGGTCCTTCCTGTGAGGCGCCCGCCTTCTGGGCCGAGCGCCGTGTCGTCCCACGCCGGCCTCTCCCTGCAGGCGTGGGGCGGAGTCTGCCCTGGTCCCCGGGCTCCCAGGGGAGTGGCGGGTCCAGGGCCGGGCAGGCAGCCCGGCGAGCTGGGGACACCCCGGGCACTCGGGCCGCGTCGAGGACACTGGAGTGCGAGCCCTGAGGGTCACGCAGCGGGGTCGCCAGCAGGGAGGCGGGGAGAGAGGGGCTTCCTTTCTGCTGAGAACCGAGGCGGGAGGCAGAGCCCGGGCTGCCCGCTGGGTGGGACCGTGGGAAGTGGCCTTCTCTGTGAGTCAGACACGGTCCCGTCCCCGCGATTTCGTGTGGTTCGGACTAACGGGGTAAAGGAGACTAAAGAGGCCATGAAGCATGTGCAGCCGTCACCTGGGTCTTGGTTAAAAACAGCTGTGAAGGGCGTCATCGGGACGTGGGGGCGGTGTGCACACGTGTGGCGTGGCCGCAGCGTGGTCCTGGCCAGCCCTGGTGTCGTGAGGGGGAGCCTGCTCCTGCAGCTCGGAAGCCGGTCGGGACAGTGAAGAGAGCGTGTGCAGAGCGAGGGGGACCACGGGCCGGCGTGGCGTGGCGGAGGGGTGTCCAGGTGAAGGTGTGGGTGTGTGTTTTCGGGAGCTTTGGGATTTTTTTTTTAAGTAGAGGGAAATGTCAGGGTAGAGCCTTCCAGGTTGGGGCCAGTCTTCCCCCAGCTGCCCAGGGGGTGGTGACTTCCCACCCTCTGTTTTATTTCATCCTGGCCTCAGAATACGTGAGAGACTTAGCGTCTGGGCATTTGTGTTTTAAAGGACGAGGAGCCCCTATCGTGGGCCCCTGGGGTGTGGGCTCCACCTAGGTGTCGGGCCAGCAGCAGGAGCAGGGCAGGCTGTATGCTGGGGCCCCAAGATGGGGTCAGAGGAGGCCTGCCTGGGGGGCACCCTGGGCCCAGTCTGGAGGGTATTGAGCCAGCCTTGCTGAGGCTGTGGGGAAAGCGTGTGCAAAGGCCCCGGGGCACTGGCAGATGCAGAGACCGAGGTTCCCAGTAAGAGCCTGTGCCAGCACAACGGGCCGACTCTGGAACGTCCGTGCCGTCTCTCTGGGGTGAGGGACCGTTCTCGGAGCTGCTCTGGCTGCGGTCTGAGTCCTGGGCTGTGCTGGCAGTAGCCGTCTCTGGGCAGAAACCCCGGCAGACCTTGATCAGCCCGGCCACTCTCAGCTGGGCTTTCCGGAGTGTGGTTTTAGTCATTGCTGGGCTCCTGTTTGGAGCAGGAGTAAAGGATTCAGGGACCCCGGCTCCGGGGCCTTGTGTGGGGCTAGGTACTGGGGATTCCGGAATACGCCTGTAAACACCACGTCCAGAGCAGAAGGGACGGGAACTGCTTCCTGGGCTTCGTGACCTGGAGGTGGGTGGGAGGCCCTGCCCGCTGGAGCCTCCCTGGTGAGGGGACGGTCGGCGCCTTGGAGGACACAAGTTGTCGGAGCGGCAGCCCTGTGTCAGCCAACGGCCACGGCCCGCCCTCCTCCACCCGTCATGCCCCTGGCACGGACTGAGGGCCTTGTCTGTGCCCAGCATCGGGCCCTGGCGCTGTGTTCGCAACTCGGTTAGCGATAGTTTCTAGGGTCACGTGGGGTTCTGAAACCAACATTTTATTTCAGAACTTCTCAGAGTGGAGAGAGACGCTCACCCACAGCCGCGGAGTCAGCCTGTGCCGTGGCCGACCCCGCCTGGCCGCGGGGCTGGGGGAGGCGTGTGCGGAGGGGGCACACCTGTGCCTCCCAGGTCTCCGGCCTGGGACAGGAATCCTCCCTCCGGCCCCCCGATGTCGGTGGGGGTGTGGTGGGGTCCTCCTGGCCTTGTATCTGTGCTGTGTTCTGTCTCCAGGGTGGACTTAGGGGTCCCGTCCCTGTCGCGCCTGGGGGGGGGTAAGTGCGGAGGGGGGTGGGGGGACGGGCTTGCCCCCAGCCAGCCATGCTCGTGGTCCCCATGCGCCCTCTGGGGGGGGCGATCTGGGCGTGGACGGTGGGCAGGGCAGGGCACTAGATGGGGTGCAGCTTTGTGTCCTGCCACGTACAGGAAGGCGAAGATTGAAACATCGTGAAAACCCTGACAAGAAAGTTTAGGCACTCTTCTGGACTGAGCGAACGCTTTCTTAAAGGCCCAGACGGTAAACATTCTGGGCTTTGTGGGCAAGAAGCAGAGTGGAGGATGTTAGTAGGCATTTGATCCAGCCGTTCAGGCACTCGCGTCCCTGTGCTGGACTGGCGGCGGCCCTCTCCCCGCGGCGGGCCTCACGTCGCTGCCTCCGCCACCTGCGGCGAAGCCCGTTGCTGTCGCCTGTGCGCCCACACTTCCAGAAACCAGCGGGCCTGCGCCCAGGCGCGGCGGCACCGAGAGCCCCTGCGCGACAGTGCTCTCCCCGTCTGCAGCCTCGCCACCGCCAGTGCCGCCCACGTGCTCCCGGCGCCGTCCCTCGCTGCGAGTGTGGGCAGGCGGACAGGGACCGGCCGTCAGAACATCCCGCAGGGCGCGTCTCAACGGCAACAAAGCAGACGACGCGATCCGGAAGCGGCTGAGGGCTGGACCGCCCGTGTCTCTGGAGAAGACGAAGGAATGGTCGGCGGCACGCGGAGAGGTGCGGGGCGTCACTGACCGCCGGAAACGGAGATGGAAACCGCTGCGCGAGGCCGCGCCGCTCCGCCAGGACCGCTGCAGTCGGCGCCGGGTGAGGCTGTGGAGCCGTCGGGGCCGGGGCCGGGGCCACTCCCTGTGGAACGGGAGGTCCCGCGCCCGCCTGCCGCGGAAGCTCTGGGGGTTCCTCGGAAGGTGAAGCGCGGGGTCGCCACGTGACCCAGCAGTTCCGCTCCTCCAGACGTGTTTGAGGGAATCTGTGTCCTGCATGCACACAGATCTTTGTGCCCGCGTGTGCATAGCAGGCCACGCACAGCGGTCCGAAGTGGAGACAGCCACGTGTCCAGTGTGGGATGGATAAGCAAAACGCGGCGCGCACACACAAATACGGAGCGTCCATGCGATGGAGTGCTTTTTCAGCCTTACAAAAGGAAGGAAATTCTGACACGTGCTGAAACGAGGAGGAGCCTTGAGGACGCTCGTTGGAGTGAACCACTCAGAACACGAGTCGCTGCGTGACACCACTGACACGCGGGCCCCAGAGCGTCACGCTCACAGAGACAAAGCGGAACGGCGGGTGCCGGGAGAGGAAGGGCAGTTAGTGTTCCGTGGCGACAGAGCTTTAGTTTTGCAAGATGGAAGATGTTCTGAAGGTAGATAGAACGCCGCAGAAGTACACAGTTAAAAGTGATCGCGGTCCCAGCGTGGCGGCGCGCGCCTGCAGTCCCAGATGCCCTGGAGGCTGAGGCAGGAGGATCGCTTGAGCCCAGGAGTTGGAGATGACAGCGAGCTGTGATCGTGCCCCTGCACTACGGGGGTGGGGGGACGACCTCTCACCTCTTAGAAACAACAGAATTTTTTGTATTTTACTACAGCACTCCTGCCCGACCCAGGCTCGAGTTAGGGTCGCAGGGCCCCGGGGGCGATTCTGGGGTGGGGACTGTGTCGCTGGGGGTGGTAGCTCCTGGGCCTCAGGCGCTCGGCTCTTTTGGTCCCGGCGGCCGTGCGGCCTTGGCGCTGGTGTCCTGCGCGGTCCGCGGCGTGGCGCCGCAGCCGTGGGGCAGCAGAGGCGATGCTCCTGGTAAGAGAGCGGCCGGGAGGAAGGCCCCTAGCGCATCCCTGCTTTGTCCTCAAGACGGGCGGCGGTGAGGTCGGGGCCTGGGCCGCCCCCAGGTGCACTGCGAGGGGTTCGTGGGAGTCTCCTTGCTCCTGGTGGTCCTCAGTCACCTCGGCTTCCTGGCCGTGGCCGTGGCCGTGGCCAGGTGGGGCTCGGGGCGTGGGTGCCCAGGCCACCAGTGCCCCGTCCGTGGCGGGACGGGTTTGAGCGGGACGAAGAGTGCACGCAAAGTCCAGTCAGAGCAAGGGGACCTGTCTCAGGCCGGTGCCCTGTGCCCGGGCCGGTCCCAGAGGCTGTGGCTCTCGGTGACACTCTGGTTGCACGCAGGTGGGGCCTGAGGGCATCCTGCAGAACGGGGCCGTGGACGACAGCGTGGCCAAGACCAGCCAGCTGCTGGCCGAGCTGAACTTCGAGGAGGATGAGGAGGACACCTACTACACGAAGGACCTGCCCATTCACGCCTGCAGGTGAGCGGCGCCGCTGCGCCCGGGGGCGGTGCCCTCGCTCCTGCGCGCACAGTCCCTGTCACCGCCACCGGTCGGGGCGTGGGCTCGGCAGCCTCCGACGCCCTGCGCTCGCCCAGCTGGCGGGGGAGGCGCCCTGGCCCTGGCCCCGGCCCCAGGCGCGAGGCTTGTTGCTAGTGCTGCCCTCGCTCGCCCGCTAGAAAGAGCTGGTCACGCCAGGGAGCATTTGGGGTTGGGGACAGAGCAGCCGTTTCTCCCACGAAGGGGTTGCTCTGGGGTTCCGCCACGTCCCTGCTCCCTGGCGCCCTCACCGCGCCTGGGAAACAGGGTGAGTGAGTCGCGAGCGGACAGACCTGCACGTTAACCGCATTGGGAATTTCGTCCCTCATCTCTTGCGTTTGGGCTTGTTCTTGCTTTTTTGTTGCGTGGAAACGAAGACCAGAAGAGGTGAAGTGATTTTGCTTGGGGCACCCGGCCAGCGCGGGGCCCAGCCCCGGCTCAGAGCCCGCTCCCACCCCCCTCCTCCCCCGGAGGTGCCAAGGCCACCCCCATGGCCGCCTGCGCCGGCCGGCTGCTCTCTGGGGCAGAGGGCGGTGCGTAGGCTTTATTTTGGGTCTTCCGTCCTCGTTTCACAGACGTGTGACTGTGCTCCCGTCACACGCGGTGCCTGGGAAGTGTCCCCGCAGAGCTGCGGCCTCGCCCCCTGCTGCGAGCTGGGGGTCGTGGGCGCCCCCCATGGCCAGGCTGCCTCAGAAGCACACGCTGGTTCCAGGCCGAGTCTCTGTGCACAGGCAGAACTCTGGGGAGCGGGTGTTTTGGGGTCTCGTGTGTCAGTGTTCAGACAAGTGGGGGTGGTGGGGGGCTCCCCCAGGTTCCCTGCCTGACCGTTTGCACCGGGCCTGCACCTCCACTGCAGGGTGGCCCATTCCCAGGAGCACAGCGCCCTCTGCTGGAGCCTGCGGTTCACCGCGGCCAGGATGTTGCAGGGGCTGGGGCCCGGGAAACATGGGGCCAAAGGGGGGACAGGAATGGCCTTGGGCGGGCGAGCCCCCCTGTGGGCAGCTCTTCCTGCAGGTAGCTTTCTTCACCCCGGCTGCCCCTGCGGAGCCCCGGCCCCACACCTGAGGCCCTCCCTGTGTCCTGGGGAGCCTCGGCTAACTGGTTTGACTTGGTCCCTGCAGTTGTCGGGCTGAGTATGTGTTTAATGAAAAACTTGAAAATGTTGTAAGAGGAAAGGATTCTGCGTCCTGCCAAATGAGAACCAGAGAGCGACCTTCCAGCTTCAGCTGTTGATGTTTTGATTTTCTAGTTACTGCGGCATCCATGATCCTGCCTGCGTGGTTTACTGCAACACCAGCAAGAAGTGGTTCTGCAACGGGCGAGGGAACACTTCTGGCAGGTAGATAATCAGAGCGCGCATGTGTCTTTAATCAGCGCTGAGCTCGGGTTTGTGTGTAAATTATGGAAATGTTGAAGCGAAGCGCAGTATAAAATCACGCTAACAAACCTGGTTTTTTTCCTCCTCTGACTGGTCTAACTTGAAACAGATGGTGGTGTGTGAATGCCTTAATGTATTTACCCTTGATTTATTCTCTGTGGTTCTTTTTATTATGCAAGTCGGGTTGGCTTGACTCGAGTTCCCAGTCTTTATTTCTCTCTTTCTGCAAGATGAGCTCCTGGCACGCCGCGAGTCCTCGTTAACAGGAGGATGTTCCCGGCGCAGGGACGGGCACGCAGGGGAGCGGGTTTCTGAGAAGCCTTGCTCTGGCCGGAGCCCGTCTGAGCCGTCCAGAGGCTAATTCGGGCCAGATCCTGAATCATCGGATTAAGTCGCGCTCACTTGACCGTCAGTCGGCTGGGCTTCCCTCCCTGCTGGGGATCAGCAGCAGCTGGGGTCGGGTCCCTTGTCCTGTGTTTGAGACGTGACCGGCGCTCTGCCGGTGCTCGCATGCCAGGGGAAGTCCGATTGTCTTGCCGGAGTGGCGGGACCCCCGTCCTCGGTTCCTGTGCTGGCGGCTCCCCTCTGGTGACGCGGGACGGGTCACTCCTCTGCCGGGGAGAGCCTCCACGTTGCTAACAAGGAGGTGGGGTCTCTTTCTGGGGTTCATGGTTTAGAGAGTGGAAGTGACAAAAGCCCGTAGGCAGCTCATTTGCCCCCCACCTTCCGGTGCCTTTTGCAGCTGTGGGGCGTGGAGGGACACGGGCCGAGTGGTCAGATCTGGTGGCCAGATCTCTGAGTTAGTGACTCGAGGTGTTTGTTCTGAGCAAGGCAAGGAAGGAGCTGGTGATTTAATCTAGATGATTTTTTAAAAAATTTTCTGGGTAATCAAAAGACATTTGTGTTCTGTGTTGAGAATATTCTGGGTAATTTACATGTTGTGCTCGCATTAATTCCTCTCGTGCAGGAAAAGCAACTAAATAAAATTTTCTTAGCTGGCAGCCCCAGCTTCCGGTCAGCACAGCCAAGAACAGGGAAGTGAGCAAAAGGGCCTCTGAGAAAAAGCAGGCCGGGCCGGGCGCCCTGCGCGCTCTGAGCAAGCCACGGGGAGGCGGGCGCAGAAATGCGGAGAGGGCGCTGGTTCTGGCCAGGTGCCAGCGCGGCTGCTCCACGGAGGAGTCGGGCCCTGGGGACGCCGAGAGCACCGGCGGGTTAGGTGATCGCGGCCTGTGGTGGCGAGAGAGGGCTGGAGGTTGGCTTCTGAACTAAAGCCTCGAACAGCAGCGTTTCCAGAAGGGAAGGGAAGGGGTGCGGCGAGGAGGCTCCGAGGCCAGGCAGGACGTGTGTTGGGTGTCTGGCCCCAGCGGCAGCCAGCAGCCGGTGTGTGCCCCGTGACAGCCATGGCTTCCGTAGAGTGGCTCGGAGCCCCCACTCGGCACTTCTTCACCGTGCTCAGGTTTCCGGCCCGAGGCAGGGCGGGAGGGGCCCCCGCTCCTGGAGGTGACTGTGCAGGGCTCTGGGAGGTGACTGCACAGGGGCAGGGAGGTGACTGCACAGGGGCAGGGAGGTGACTGCACAGGACTCTGGGAGGTGACTGCGCAGGGCTCTGGGAGGTGACTGCACAGGGGCAGGGAGGTGACTGCACAGGGCTCTGGGAGGTGACTGCGCAGGGCTCTGGGAGGTGACTGCACAGGGGCAGGGAGGTGACTGCACAGGGCTCTGGGAGGTGACTGCGCAGGGGCAGGGAGGCAGGCACAGGGCTCTGGGAGGTGACTGCGTAGGGGCAGGGAGGTGACTGTGCAGGGCTCCTGGAGGCAGGCGCAGGGCTCTGGGAGGTGACTGTGCAGGGCTCTGGGAGGTGACTGCGCAGGGGCAGGGAGGTGACTGCGCAGGGCTCTGGGAGGTGACTGCGTAGGGGCAGGGAGGTGACTATGCAGGGGCAGGGAGGTGACTGCGCAGGGCTCCTGGAGGTGGGCGCAGGGCTCTGGGAGGTGACTGTGCAGGGCTCTGGGAGGTGACTGCGCAGGGCTCTGGGAGGTGACTGCGCAGGGCTCTGGGAGGTGACTGCGCAGGGCTCTGGGAGGTGACTGCGCATGCAGGGGCAGGGAGGTGACTGCGCAGGGCTCCTGGAGGTGGGCGCAGGGCTCTGGGAGGTGACTGCGCAGGGCTCTGGGAGGTGACTGCGCAGGGCTCTGGGAGGTGACTGCGCAGGGCTCTGGGAGGTGACTGCGCAGGGGCAGGGAGGCAGGCGCAGGGCTCTGGGAGGTGACTGCGCAGGGCTCTGGGAGGTGACTATGCAGGGGCAGGGAGGTGACTGCGCGGGGCTCTGGGAGGTGGCTGCGCAGGGGCAGGGAGGTGGGCGCAGGGCTCTGGGAGGTGACTGCGCAGGGGCAGGGAGGTGACTGCGCAGGGGCAGGGAGGCGGGTGCAGGGCTCTGAGAGGTGACTGCGCAGGGGCAGGGAGGTGACTGCTCAGGGCTCTGGGAGGTGACTGCGCAGGGGCAGGGAGGCGGCCTTGCGGACCCGTCGCTGGCCCCGCAGTGGGTCAGATCAGGCCTGATGAGCTGGATTTCAGGGAGCAGGAACAACGTGAACCGTGTTAAGGAAGTCTTCCTTAAAAGTGGTTAGAGTTTTGGGATCGGCTTTGCGCTCGGCGGGAGCCGGGTCAGGGGAGAGCTGGTCCCGGGCCCCCAGATGGACGGGGTGGCGGCCTCTGCTAATGGGCCGTGGACAGTGCCGGAACTTCCAGCAGGCCGGGAGCGGGAGTGGTGAAAAGCCAGACTCTGGGTGTTAACTGTCCGTTGTTTCCTGGTCCCAGCCACATTGTAAATCACCTCGTGCGGGCCAAGTGCAAGGAGGTGACTCTGCACAAGGACGGGCCCCTGGGCGAGACGGTGCTCGAGTGCTACAACTGCGGCTGCCGCAACGTCTTCCTGCTGGGCTTCATCCCCGCCAAGGCCGACTCGGTGGTGGTGCTGCTGTGCAGGTGAGGCCCGGCCGTGTCTGCGAGGTGTCGGGACGGACCCTTGGGGTCCGGGCCGCCGAGTGACTCGAGGTGTGTTCCGGGTGGATCATAAAATTGATCCCGTAAAGCCACAGCCTGGTCTGAGTTTGAGAGTTTGGCCCCGGGCGGGGCCGAGCGGTTCCTCGCTGACAGTGGAAAGGCGACGGGGTCGCCAGTACAGCTCAGGGACGCGGCCCTTTGGTGGGGGGTCGCGGGCCCTCGGCGAGGGGCGCTGCTGCTCACGGCGGCCCTCCCCACTCGCAGGCAGCCCTGCGCCAGCCAGAGCAGCCTCAAGGACATCAACTGGGACAGCTCGCAATGGCAGCCGCTGATCCAGGACCGCTGCTTCCTGTCCTGGCTGGTGAAGATCCCCTCCGAGCAGGAGCAGCTGCGGGCGCGGCAGATCACCGCCCAGCAGATCAACAAGCTGGAGGAGCTCTGGAAGGTGAGGCCTCGGCAGGCGTACCGGCCAGCTGGGGCTGTCTCCAGAGACCGCTCGGCCGTGAGGCCACTGGAGATTCCGGGAGGAACTCGGGTGTGCCGAGAGGGGTCCTAGGGCGCCTCAGGCCCGCGTGGTCATCCCTGCCCTGCAGCGTTGCCTGGCTGGGGGGAGCCTGGTCTCTGGGAAGGGAGAGGAAAGCTCTGGGGCTCCTGTCCGTGCGGGGGTGAGGCCGAGTGGGGGAGGGGAGGGAGGGCACTGGCCGGGGCGGGTAGATGTGTCGGGCAGAGTCTGGACCTGCTCAGGCAGGCAGGGGAGAGGCGCCGGGTCAGTAGTGGGTGGCCGGGCCCTGCCCACAGACCTGGGAGGACCCCACCCTTCCCCGTGGAAACTGCTCTCTGGTCCTGGCTGGTGATGATTTTGCAATTACGTGAGTGAGTTCTTTTCCTTTTTTGAGACAGAGTCTCACTCTGTTGCCCGGGCTAGAGTTCCGTGTCATCAACCTCGCTCACAGCAACCTCCAACTCCTGGGCTCAAGGGATCCTCCTGCCTCAGCCTCCTGAGTAGCTAGGACTACAGGCATGCGCCACCATGCCCGGCTAATTTTTTCTATATGTATTTAGTTGGCCCATTAATTTGTTTGTTTTTAGTAGAGACGAGGTTTCACTCTTAGGCTGGTCTTGAACTCCTGACCTTGAGTGATCCACCTGCCTCGGCCTCCCAGAGTGTGGGGATGGCAGGCGGGAGCCACCGCGCCCGGCCAGTGAGTGAGCTCTAATAGCTAGGCTAGGGGTTTGAATTCAGAGCCCAGCCGGGAGTCTCAAGTAGGAATTCATTTTTACTTTGAGTGCAAGTCAGGGTGTCGTCTGAGCACTTTCTCGCTGGGTACTTTTCCACGTGGACGTCCAGGCTGCCAAAATCATTTCATCACTCCCGTTTGTAGCCAGACAGCCTAGACGCTGCTCTGTCGACAGCAGCGTGGGCTCGCTGAGGGCGTGGATGCTGGCAGTGCTGCCGCCTGCGCTGTCTTGCTCAGGCTGGCAGTCGTGGGAGCCGCCCCGTGCGGGGACGCGGGGAGACCGGCCTGTGTGGCAGCTGGACGGAGACGTCGCTGCTCCTCGCCGGCCGGTGGGCCTGGAGCGGGCGGGCCTGGAGCGGGCGGCTGTCACGCTGCGCGCCTGGGTCGGCAGGTCCCCGGGTGCTGGCGCAGTCGTGGCCAGAGGAGCAGCTGAGGCCGCAGCTGGCGCCTGGCCCCGTGCAGCGTGGGGTTCCTGTCACTAGGCCCTCCTCGCAGGGCGACGCCACGCTGTCCACCCGGGGCGGCGCCGGGCGCCCCGCCCTCAGCGCCTGCACGGGGCGGTGGGAGCAGCGCTCCGCCCCCGGTGCCCCCCAGCGCCCGCACGCTGGCGCGCAGGTGGGCGGGGCTGAGCGGGCGTGCCGTCCTCCAGGAGAACCCCTCCGCCACGCTGGAGGACCTGGAGAAGCCGGGGGTGGACGAGGAGCCGCAGCACGTGCTCCTGCGCTACGAGGACGCCTACCAGTACCAGAACATCTTCGGGCCGCTGGTCAAGCTGGAGGCCGACTACGACAAGAAGCTGAAGGAGTCGCAGGTGACGCGGGCGTGCGGGGGGCTGGTGGCGGCTGTAGCCCGGCGTCTCACTCCTGAGGTTCGCGGAGGGCGGTTTCCTCCTCAGGCCTCGGAAGCCACGGGGCCGGAGCCTGCGGGTCGGGGCTGGGCTCTCGGAGCAGATCGTTCTGTCTTTAAATCCCTCAAAACTCCCTTCCGGTCAGTCCGCAGCGGCAAGAGGCCTCGTGCCGGGTCCCCGTGACGGCCGTGTTGAGGAATCGGGAGCCCGGTGACGGCACCCCCCTCCCCCCGCAGCGGCTGCCGTCCGGGCCACGCGGAGCCTCCCGCCGTGTGCTGCGGCGCCCCAGACGGACGTGGCCCTCACTGCTGCTCTCCCCACACGGCCTCGAGGGCGGCTGAGGCTGCCGGTGCCCTGGTGTCGTGGCGGAGTCCCAGCAGGGCTCGCACCTCCTGGAGACCCGGCCCGGGGCGTCCAGGCCGCGCCTGCGCCGAGGGCTAACCAGGGCTCTTGTTTTCCATGTGCTCAGACTCAAGATAACATCACGGTCAGGTGGGACCTGGGCCTTAACAAGAAGAGAATCGCCTACTTCACTTTGCCCAAGACTGACTCTGGTAATGAGGATTTAGTCATAATTTGGTTAAGAGGTGATTCTAAGTTTTAAAATACTTGTGACCATAGTAGCATAAAATTCCTAGTTGTGCCCTTGTAAAGTGTCCCTTGATGTGAGTCCCGTGGCGGGAGCCACGGCGCGCGCTGACCCTGCTCTCTTGCCTCTCGCGGAAGACATGCGGCTCATGCAGGGGGACGAGATCTGCCTGCGCTACAAGGGCGACCTGGCGCCCCTGTGGAAGGGGATCGGCCACGTCATCAAAGTCCCTGATAGTATCCTTCGTGTGGCGCGGGCTGGGTCGGGCTGGCGGGGGACTGGGGGTCCGCCAGGCTCCCCTGGGTCTGGCGGGCGGCAGCAGCGCCGCCATGGATTCCACAGCGTGGCTGTGCCAGAGTTCGGAGCTTTGCGGCGGGCGCTGGTTGGCGCAGCCCTTGGCTGCCTCTGGGAGACCGCAGGCCCTTCCTGGCGGCGAAGGTGGTGGGCTGGTTGCACGGCTACTGCTCCTCCACCGCTGGGCGCGTCAACCCCGGTGAGGCCACCTGCGCCCACGGCCGCCGGCCGCTCCTCTCCCGTGCGGCGTGCGTGCCCATGCTCTCGCTGGGAGTAGCCGCTGCGCCCGGAGAGGCTGGCGTGGCTCTGAAGAAGAGCTTTGCCCGGGCACTGAGGCCACGCGAGGCTCTGGAAGGCTGCGGTCATGTGTGCAGATGCTCTGAGTGCGTGTTTGCTCCCAGGCCAGGCGTGGTGACGTGCTGTGACCTCAGCGTGCTCCACCGTGCTGGCCAGAGGGGGCCGGGTGGCATCTGGGCGGCCCAGGTGTGGAGAGACACCTGGCGTGGGAGGCGCCCCAGTGGGCACTGGCAGGTCCCTCCCCCTGGCGGCGCTGGTGCCTCGCAGCCGGGCAGCGGCTTGGGCGCGCCGTCCCCGTGCCACCGTGTCTCTGACGGCCTTATCAGTCCTGGGGCCGAGGGTGGAGGGAGGGGCGTCGCCCACGGGCCACAGCCTCGCAGAGGGCCGAGGGCGTGCGGGCAGGCTGCCTCCTCTCCTGTGTGGTCTCAGCCCCGGCTTCACCGTGCCCAGAGCTGCGTGTCCGCATCAAGCTGGTAAACGCAGCTCTGGCTGCAGCCGGGGAGCCCGAGCCCACGTTGGAGCAGCTCACACTGGGAGCCGCTCGGAGGGGCGACGACCTCGCTCCGCCCTCTGCACGCATCCCGAGAAGGGCCGGGCGAGGGCCGGGACGTGGCTGACGGGAGCAGGTCTGTCCGCGAGGACGCTGTCCCGGTCCCTGGCTGTCCGGGTCTCTGCGTCGTCGCCGTTGGGTGCGCAGGCGGCGGGTCCCCTCGGTAACCAGGGGCTCCTCCCAGCAGCCAGCCTGGCTTTTGACAAGGACACAAACTTAACTCAGCGCACAGATTATGGTGACGAGATCGCCATCGAGCTGCGGAGCAGTGTGGGGGCGCCCGTGGAGGTGACTCACAATTTCCAGGTGGACTTCGTGTGGAAGTCCACCTCGTTCGACAGGTACGTCTGCCCTCCGGGGCCGCCGCGGGCTGGTCTGCAGTCGCCCGCTCCTCCGGGTCTCCGGCCGCCGCCGCCTCGTGCGTCCCGCCCCACCAGGGCGGAGCGTCTCCGTGAGGCTGCGTGAGCTCAGGACGCCAGCGAGGGGCCGCGCCGCGCAGCTCACCCCGCTCTCCCGGCAGGATGCAGAGCGCGCTGAAGACCTTCGCGGTGGACGAGACCTCCGTGTCCGGCTACATCTACCACAAGCTGCTGGGCCACGAGGTGGAGGACGTGATCATCAAGTGCCAGCTGCCGAAGCGCTTCACGGCGCAGGGCCTCCCCGACCTCAACCACTCTCAGGTGCCCGCTGGCGCGGGACGGCGGCCCCACCCGCCCGGCTGTGGCGTGGCCGCGGCCGCCCTGACAGCGGCCTGGGTTTGCAGGTTTACGCCGTGAAGACTGTGCTGCAGAGGCCGCTGAGCCTGATCCAGGGCCCTCCGGGCACGGGGAAGACGGTGACCTCGGCCACCATCGTCTACCACCTGGCGCGGCAAGGCAACGGGTAGGGCTGGGCGCGTCCCCGCAGGAGCCCCGGGCGTGGCGTGGTGGGAGGCGGGGCCTGTGTGCTGGGCGCTGGGACCTGTCCCGCCGCGGAGAGCTGTCCGAGGAGTCCCCTGCGCTACTCACGGCAGCTCGAGCCTCGTGGCTGCTTTCCATCGGCCAAGCCCGCTGCTGGCCTGATGCGTCCTGAGTCCTGCGCTGTCGCTTAGCTCGGGAGCGCAAAGGAGGGGGGCGTCCGAGCTCCGTGCTCACGCCGCCGTGGGGGCGGGGCGCTCTGGGCTGGGCCGGTCCGAGCCCCCTCTGCAGCGTGTAGTTGCCGCGCTAGAAGGGGCAGTCTTGCTCACGCCTCGTTCGCCGAGCTCCCCTTGGGTGAGCGCCAAGCTGTCTGCGCTGCGTTCCAGGCCCGTGCTCGTCTGCGCCCCGAGCAACATCGCGGTGGACCAGCTGACGGAGAAGATCCACCAGACGGGGCTGAAGGTGGTGCGCCTCTGCGCCAAGAGCCGGGAGGCCATCGACTCCCCGGTGTCGTTCCTGGCCCTGCACAACCAGATCAGGAACATGGACAGGTGGGCGCCCGCCCCGCCCCGCCCCGCCCCGCCGACCCCAGCCCCGCGGCCCGCTGACCTGCCTGTGCTTGCAGCATGCCCGAGCTGCAGAAGCTGCAGCAGCTGAAGGACGAGACCGGCGAGCTGTCGTCTGCGGACGAGAAGCGGTACCGGGCCCTGAAGCGCACCGCCGAGAGGGAGCTGCTCATGGTGAGCACGGCGCGGTCTGTCCGCGCCAAAGCGCCTGCGCGGGTCTCTCCGGTCTGCGCGGGTCTGTCAGGCCTGCGTGGGCTCCCGTGGCGGGTCTGTCACTGTGCGTCGAGAAGAGACCCAGACACCCTTCCTCTGCCTCCGCGCGTTCGCTCGCTGCCGGGACCCGGGGTGCACGGGCTTCCGGGGAGTCCCTGCTGCTGGCCCTGACAGAAAGCAGGCTGGAGTCGCGCCCGAGGGTGGCTGTCACCGGCTCGGCGCCGAGTCCTTCCCGTGGGAGAGGGCGGGCGTTTCCTCAAGGCACGGCCGTCCAGGGCCTCGGAAGTCAGTGGTCACCGCAGCCCGGCCGTGCGTCTCTCCGGGAGGGACACCGTGTTCTGTGGTCGCCGGGGAGAGCGGGGAGTGGAGCCCCCGTGCCTCGTCCTGCGCCGCGCAGGTGCCCTGACGCCTCTGCACCCCCCCAGAACGCGGACGTCATCTGCTGCACGTGCGTGGGCGCCGGGGACCCGCGGCTCGCCAAGATGCAGTTCCGCTCCATCCTCATCGACGAGAGCACCCAGGCCACCGAGCCCGAGTGCATGGTCCCCGTGGTGCTCGGCGCCAAGCAGGTGGGCTGCCTCGCCGCCCAGCCCTTGCTGGGAACCAGTGAGATTCTTCCTGCTCCAAGTCGGTTTTCAAAAACGTCTTCCGGCACAGGGGGCCCTCTGGGGGGGGGCTTTGGAGGGTGAGGGTGGGCCCCCGGCCTTTGCCCGCTCACCCGGAGCCCGTGTGCCAGGGCCCGGGACGCGGCCTGGCCTTGTCCTGCCCGTGCTGAGGCGTGTGCGGCACTCCCGCTGCGCGGCAGGGTGCTCTGCGGGCCCAGCTCCCTGGTCCTGATGGGTGCGGCGAGGCCGGTCCTCGCGAGAGCAGCTCGACTCTCACTGGCCGCCCTGTCCCCGCAGCTGATCCTAGTGGGCGACCACTGCCAGCTGGGCCCGGTGGTGATGTGCAAGAAGGCCGCCAAGGCCGGGCTGTCACAGTCGCTGTTCGAGCGCCTGGTGGTGCTGGGCATCCGGCCCATCCGCCTGCAGGTGCAGTACCGGATGCACCCCGCGCTCAGCGCCTTCCCCTCCAACATCTTCTACGAGGGCTCGCTGCAGAACGGCGTCACCGCAGGTAGGCGCTCTGCGGGTGGGGCTTCTGGAGGGGAGGGGTATTGGGGGCGCAGCCTGGGGGGAGGAGACCAGACACTTCCTCCCTGTGTGCCTTACACGGCAACCCCTTGTGAATGGCGCCCCGCAGTCTCCCCGGTGTGGTCAGGGCCTGAGCGTCTGCTTCCGGCTGTGGGTGCCGGAACCCTGTCCTCTCTGATACTCAGAGTCGCCCCTGGGACCCGGCCAGGCTCCGCAGCCTGGCGAGTAGCAGCGAGGCCACTTACAGGAGCTGGCCTGAGTCCCTCCTTTCTGCCGGGCCTTGGGTCTGCAGCCGTGGGACGCGGCCGTCTCAGAGCCCCCGCCCTGGGGTCTGCACAGCGCTGAATGGCTTCCCTGAGGCCAGGACCACCGTAACACGCAGAGGCACGCTCTGCCTTCCTCAGTGCGCTGGTGGTGACCAGCTGGCGCCTCCACTCGAGTCAGCACGGAGCCGCCAGCCCTGCCAGGGCCTGTGGTGTCACCGCCACCCGTCTCTGAGAAACGCCCCGGGCAGAGTGAAATGAGTGCGTCTTACTAAGCTCCGAGTGCGTGTCCTTTTGACATCCGGTGCGGCCAGACGGAAGTTCCCGCGGCACCCACAGATGTGTGAGGTGCTGTAAGGAAGTACTAGGAGCCCTCTGGGAGGCCAAGGCAGGAGGATTGCTTGAGGTCAGAAGTTCATGACCAGCCTGAGCTAGAGCGAGATGCCATTTCTACTAAAAGCAGAAACATTAGCCGGACGTGGTGGCACGCACCTGTAGTCCCAGCTACCTGGGAGGCTGAGGGAGTAGGATTGCTTGAGCCCAGGAGTTTGAGGTTGCTGTGAGCTAGGCTGACACCGTGGCACTCTAGCCCGGGTGACAGTCTCAAAATCAAGAAGTACTTAGGCCGGGCGCGGTAGCTCACGCCTGTAATCCTAGCACTCTGGGAGGCCAAGGCAGGCAGATTGCTCGAGGTCAGGAGTTCGAAACCAGCCCGAGCAAGAGCGAGACCCCGTCTTTACTATAAATAGAAAGAAATTAATTGGCCAACTAATATATATAGAAAAAATTAGCCGGGCCTGGTGGCGCATGCCTGTAGTCCCAGCTACTTGGGAGGCTGAGGCAGGAGGATGGCTTGAGGCCAGGAGTTGGAGGTTGCTGTGAGCGAGGCTGACGCTATGGCACTCACTCTAGCCTGGGCAACAAAGCGAGACTCTGTCGCAAAAAAAAAAAAAAAAAAAATCAAGAAGTACTTGCAGACACAGCCTGGGTGTGCACTCTGGGGTGTCGGACGGATGTTTTCCTGAAGATCAATGGAAACCTGTTGCTTCCAGGAAAATAAGTGAAGAGTATTTGCCACCAAGGATAAAATCCTAGGATTCAAGTGAAAAAAAAAATGAGAACACAGGAAAGCTTTAATCACGTTACCTCCTGTGAGCTTGATGTCTTCCCAGCGTCTGGAGACCCCTCTGATGGGATCCGTGGTGGTGACAGGTGGGATGTTCCCGCCATCGCCCGTGAAACCGCTGACCTTCAGATGGTCCTCCTGGCCCAGTGGGCCTTGCCGAGCCACCCTTCCCGAGCGACCAATGCGGAGCGTGCCAAAGTCACGTGGGCACCAGAGGCCCGTCCTGGAGGTGGGGCAGAGTGATGAGGAGTCGCCATGGGCTGCCGTGCTTTCAGGGAGGGGACCTGCGGCCGTGCAGACGGGTCGTGCGGACGCTGCCCTTCCCAGGCACTCGTGCCCGAGAGCCCCGACTCCCCGCCCCCCCAGAGTCAGCCCCTCCCGGGGAGAGCCGTGCAGAGTCCGTCCGAGCACCCAGCTGCCTCCCGTGAACCCAGACAGCAAAGAGATTTGGACAACTGGGAACAAGACTACTCTTCTCGATTTATTTTCTGGGAAATAGGGCTTTTCCATGAAAAATATAAACATGTAATTGATTTATTTCATCATGAATTAACACGCATTTAACATCTCTAAAATCTGGGATGCTGGTGTCTGCCAGACGCTGGGCCCTGAGCGTCTCTGCCACCTCCGGTGCCTGCCGCCCCACCTGCGCGGCTTGGAGGGCAGGCGTCCTGTTCCCCGCTGTGCTGGTGCCTGTGCTCAGCGAATAGCCAACTACTGAGGCGTAAATGCGCATCCGGCCTGAGTTTCCCTAAGCGGAAGCCGTGCCTGACCGGCTCCTGGGAGTCGCCTTCGCACCTGAGGGCGCACACGCAGGGCGGCGCTGGAGCCTGCGTCTGCCGCCAGGGCCTGCGGTCACGTGCACGGTGACCCTGTGGGCAGCTGTCACCAAGCACGCCCGCTGGGCTTTGTCCTCACTTTGCTCGCGCTGACCAAATCCCCAAGGCTGGTTCTGAAAGGACAAGGCTAGGAACAGGGCTCAGACCAGCCGGACGGCACGGAGACCCCAGGGAGGCGGAGGCTTGGGGTACCGTCCCGCCCCAGCCCAGGCGGCGTCCGGAGGCACGGCCAGCCGTGCAACCCTTGGTGGTGGCGCGTGCAGCTGTGGGGCAGCAGGACGGGTGGCTCAGCAGTGTCACGCATGTCGGCTATAGGGTCTGTGGGGCCTGTGAGGTGATCACGCTTCTAGAAGGAAACAGGAGCTGTCCCCGTGAGCCTGAGGTGGGCAAGGGCGTCCAGGCTGCAAGGAGGCGCCAGCCGACACCCATCTGTTAGTCGGGGAGGCAGCGCGAGCCGGCACGGGGCCCTGTGTGGCCTCGCGCAGCCTGGGCTTCCCGCCCCAGCACCTCTGCCTGCGGCGGCAGCGTCCATGCTGCGCTGCGGCTTCTGAAGCGTTGCCTCTCTCCCCTCCCGCCACAGCGGACCGCGTGAAGAAGGGGTTTGACTTCCAGTGGCCGCAGCCGGATAAGCCCATGTTCTTCTACGTGACGCAGGGACAGGAGGAGATCGCCAGCTCGGGCACCTCCTACCTGAACAGGTGAGCAGGGCGCCTACCTGAACAGGCGAGCAGGGCGCCTACCTGAACAGGTGAGCAGGGCGCGCCTGCGGGGGCAGCTCATCGAGGGGTCGCCGGCCTGAGCCTTCCGCTCGTCGTCCCTGTTGTGTCCAGACTCTGCACCGCGGCCTTCCCTTCTGCCTCGAGTTCCCAGTGTCCTTGTGCCGCGCAGACACTTCATAACCCTGCACGGGGCCTCTCCTGGCCCTTGTCACCCCCAAAGGACGCGAGCTCACCTGGCCACTCTGGGTGTGGGCGGGCGGCGCTGGAGGGCCCTCGCTGCGCCACGCTGTCATGGTGACGCCCGCAGCCAGGTGGCGTACTCCTGGCCCCGCAGGCCGGTGGCCGTGGGTGTGGGGCGGGCCGAGCTGGTCCCTGAGAGCCTGGCGTCCGCAGGACCGAGGCCGCCAACGTGGAGAAGATCACCACGAAGCTGCTGAAGGCGGGCGCCAAGCCGGACCAGATCGGCATCATCACGCCGTACGAGGGCCAGCGCTCCTACCTGGTGCAGTACATGCAGTTCAGCGGCTCCCTGCACACCAAGCTCTACCAGGTGCGCGGCCGCCTGGGGTGGTGGGGGGAGGCGGGAGTCGGCCGGCTCTCGGGAGGGCCGCGGCGGGGCTGGCGCAGGTGCGGAAGGCGGCCTGGGCTTTGAGACGAGTCCCAGCTGGGACGGCAGGGGCCGGTCAGCGCCAGCCTGGCGCTGAAGGCGCCATCACTCCCGTGTTGACGCCAGCAGGATGCCCGGCGTGTGTGTGTGCGTCTCGTGGCCACACTGCGCTGGCTCCCGCCCGTCCTCGGTGCCGCCTTGCTGCCCCATGGCGGGCGCGTGTGGTCCCGTCGCTGGGAAACACGAGAGGAAGCAAAGTGCGCAGGGCCCGGCGGCGCGGTGGGCAGGCGCCAGGCCGGGGCTCCCGCTGGGGTCCAGGGCGTCTCGCGTGGTTGCCGTGGCCGGGGCCCCGTTAGGCAGCCTGCCGGCTGACGGTGCTGCGCGGCCCCTTCCAGGAGGTGGAGATCGCCAGCGTGGACGCCTTCCAGGGCCGCGAGAAGGACTTCATCATCCTGTCCTGCGTGCGCGCCAACGAGCACCAGGGCATCGGCTTCCTCAACGATCCCCGGCGCCTCAACGTGGCCCTGACCAGAGCCAGGTAGGCAGGGCTGGCGGGGGCAGGGCAGGGGGTCGTCCGGCTCCCAGCGGTGATTCAGGGACAGCGTGTCCTGCAGAGTCTCTTTCCGCGGTCTGGCGGCTTTCGGCCGTTCACCTGGGTCTGGCAGGACTGTCTCTCGAATCCTCCCGGTCTGAGATTCAGCCCAAGTGTGTGAGATTGTGGTCTTGCTCGCTTTTTGGTTCTTGAATGTAACTTTTCTAAAATAATAGCGGCAGGAAGGATCCAGAGGGCAAGGTGGCCGCTGTGTCGGTCCCCACGTAAAGCCGGACGGCAGCAGCTGGGGCCCGGGGGCCCGTCCAGGGCTCAGCGTGTCCCCAGGGGGCACCGGTCGCTGCTGCCCTGGGCCCTTCCCTTCGAAGGCCGTGACAGCTTTTGATTTGTCGCCTCCTCTCTGGCTCCCTCCTCTCTGGGCCAGGTTGGTGCCAGGGAGCGCCCGGCGCACAGCTGCGGGCGGGTGAGCTGGAGGGCAGGTGTCGCGGTGGCTCCGGGGCAGCCTGCAGGGCCGCGGTGCCAGGTGCCGGGGCTCCTCCCGTCAGGGGCAGGCCCCGTCCCGAGCCCACCTCCCCGGGCAGGTTTCTGGCCTCGGCTACTTGGAGGACGTCCTCGGGCCCCTGTGCGCAGGGCTGGAGTCTGCGGGGCCAGCCCAGCCTTGGCGCCAGGGCCGGCGACTCCCAGGGCTCCTGCTGGCTGAGCACACGCGTGTGCGGAGGTGGCCGAGTGCTGGGTGTGCCGGGCCTGGGCTCGTGTGGCGGTTCTCTGTGGAGTCCTCAGCCGTGTCCCGCCGCAGGTACGGCGTCATCATCGTGGGCAACCCCAAGGCGCTGTCGAAGCAGCCGCTGTGGAACCACCTGCTCAACTACTACAAGGAGCAGAAGGTGCTGGTCGAGGGCCCGCTCAACAACCTGCGCGAGAGCCTCATGCAGTTCAGCAAGCCGCGCAAGCTGGTCAACACCATCAACCCGGTGAGCCCGGCCCGCCGCTCGGGCGCTGCCCTGCATGGGGTCGGCCCTCGGCGGGCGGGAGCAGTGGTCTGTGGCACTCGGACACCCGGAGGCCCTCCAGGAGGAGGGGGTGGGAGCGAGTCCCCGTGCCCGGCCCCCAGGCCTCCTGGGGTGACGCACGGGCCGCTGTGCCAGGCAGGTGGGGACAGGGACACAGCGGTCAGGCCGCTTGGGAGGCCCAGCGTGCTGGGGGGGGCTGCGTCTGCCTGGCCAAGGTGGGGGGCCGAGGGGCCGCGGGCGGGGGGCCGAGCGCCCAGCCCAGCCCAGCGTCACACCCGAGAGCCACACCTGCCGCCTCCCAGGCCACCGGCTGTGTGGGAGGCTCTTCCCGAGTCGCTGGCGAATTCCTCACCTGCCTGCCGCCCGCGCAGGGGGCCCGCTTCATGACGACGGCCATGTACGACGCGCGGGAGGCCATCATCCCGGGCTCGGTCTACGATCGCAGCAGCCAGGGTGAGTGCCGCCTGCGTCCCCCTGCCGGGGTGTCGGCCGCTCCTGGGTGGCCGCGGCTCGGCCCACAGGGCCTGCCTGCTGGTGAGCCGCCCCAGACAGCGTCCTTGCTGGTTCCCAAGACCAGGCGCTTTCCCGGCGAGACAGGATGCCCGTCTGTCCCCGCGCTCCCCGGGCGCCCGCCCCTCGATCCTGCCCGCGGGCCCCACGCCAGCCCTGGGGACATGTGCCACCTCCCCTCGGTCCCGCCGCCTCTCTGGAGCTCTGTGTGCTGCTGCGGGAAGCCGCGGCGTGCAGTCTGTGTGCGCCAGGCCAGCGTGCGGTGTGGCCGGCCCCTCCTGTCGAGGGTTCAGACCGTGGTTTGTGCTCTGCACACGCCCAGCAAGTCACTGTGTCCCTCATTGCCAGCCGCCTGCGAGCCCCTGCCCTCACGGTGACCCGCCACGGCCCATCACTTGGCCCGGCCACCCCTCTGGTCTCTGGTGGGGCGCCCCCTTCCCAACCCCCGAGGGGCCCGAGGGTGGCGCCTGGGGCCCCGTCTGCTCCTGCCAGAGGCTGCGAGGTGGCGTTTCCTTGGGACAGGTCTTAGTGTCTTCTGGCTGTTTGGCATGGAGGTTGCATAGTGTGAATATGAAGTTTTCTACTCAAAGGAATTTTTTGGTGAACGTAGCATGGTTTTCAGTTTTTGAGATCCCTGTAGGCCACCGATTCTCAGCGGGCTCCTGGGGAGAAAGGCACGCCAGCCCGCCCCGTGTCTTGCAGGCCGGCCCTCGAACATGTACTTCCAGACCCACGACCAGATCGGCATGATCAGCGCGGGCCCCAGCCACGTGGCCGCCATGAACATCCCCATCCCCTTCAACCTGGTCATGCCGCCCATGCCGCCTCCGGGCTACTTCGGACAGGCCAACGGCCCGGCTGCAGGTGGGCGGGGTGGGCTGCGCGGGGAGGGCGGGCTGGCAGCGTGGGCCGCCACTGGGCACGCGGCCTGGCCCCGTCCCGCCTCCCCGCCCCCGCCCCCCGGGGCTGCCCTCTGCCTCCAGCCTCGGCTGTGCTGTCTGCGGGGCTCGGGCCTCCCTCAGGCAGCCCGGACTGTGTCTTTCAGGCCGGGGCACCCCGAAAGGCAAGACTGGGCGTGGGGGGCGCCAGAAGAACCGCTTCGGGCTGCCCGGGCCCAGCCAGACCACCCTCCCCAGCAGCCAGGCCAGCCAGGACGTGGCATCGCAGCCCTTCTCCCAGGGCGCCCTGACGCAGGGCTACATCTCCATGAGCCAGCCCTCCCAGATGAGCCAGCCCGGCCTCTCGCAGCCCGAGCTGTCCCAGGTGAGCCGGCCCCACGCTGGAGCCCAGGCACTCGCCCTTGGAGGGGGCTGAGAGTCTGGAACGTTCCATCCACGGTGCTGCCCTTCGGGGTCCTGGGCAGCTGGTCTGGGTTACTCGGCCCTGTGCCGGCGTGAGTGGGCCGGGTCTCCTGCTGCCGGGCTTGAGGACGGGGTTTTCTGGACTCTTCTCTGGGCCACGAGGGGCCCAGTGGACGTGAGCACCCTTGGACCGTGGCTTGCTCACGTCCCCAACCTTATCTTTCAGGACAGCTACCTCGGCGATGAGTTTAAGTCACAGATCGATGTGGCACTCTCACAAGACTCCACGTACCAGGGAGAGCGGGCGTACCAGCATGGCGGGGTGACGGGGCTGTCCCAGTACTAGAAGGCAAGCCCGCCACGCAGGCCCCGTCCCGCCCCCCAAGGAAAGGGGTGGGAGCCACTGGGGGCATGGTGGCTTGGGGGGGAGCTGGACTTCCGTGCTGGGGGGGTTTAAGCCCCAGGGGCCAGCTTGTCCGTGACCCTCAGTTTGGGTCAGGGTGGCTTCAGGACCACCTGCCCGGCCCCGCCTGCTCCCTGGGAGAGGGGTGTGGTGGCCCCTGTTTCTGCCTGGGGAGGCACGCCCGCCACGGCAGCCTCGCTCACTGGACGGGGTTCGGGACGCCTGCCGGGTTCCACCACCTGTGTCCCCCACGGGCCTCGGTTTCCTCGCCACAGTGGCTCAAGGGTGGGCTTGGGCTCCTCGCCCTGCCTGTGTGCCAGGCCGGGGGCGCAGGGGCGCCGCCCCTGTGGGCAGGACCCCGGGAGCCCCGCCGGCCCTCACGGCCGCCCTTCGCCCCTCTCCCTGCACAGGTGGCGCGGAAGAGCTGAGCTACGTGGCTTAGTCCATCAGCATCTTATCCTGGGTAATAAAAAATAAAAATAAACGGATACCTGTTTTCCACTGCTAAACTGAAGCACACTGTGTGAGCAGCAAGAGGGAGAGGCCGAGCGAGGAGAGGAGGAGCAGCCGAGCGCGCCCTGCTGCCCGGCGCGAGGAGCAGAAGGCGGCGCAGGGCCGGCCCGCCGGAGCCCGGAGTCCCGCCAGCCCGCGAGGAGGCCCCGCGCTCGCCCACCGGGCTGTGGCCAGGGCGGAGGGAGGAAGCCCTCATCTCAGAGTAGCCCTTTCCTCTGTTCTTTTCTTTTTCTCTTTTTATTGAAAGGGGACTACGTTTTAGCAGGAAAAACTTCGCCTTTCTGTGCCCAGCAGGCGGCCGTGCCGGGCGGAGCCCGGGCGGGACAGCGGCGTCTGCAGCCGCCGGAGCCGCGAGCTCGCGACGCCTGAGTTCTGAGAGGGTTTTCATTTAAAGAAAATACGGTGTTTGGGTTTTTTCTGTTTGTTTTTTTTAAAGATTCTTTCAAAGGAGTACTGAAAAATATTTTCCTAAGTTTGTCTCTGAAATCTTAGTGGTGGACCTGGGAGATGCGAGAAGCTTCCAGAAACGAAGCTCAGACGAGCCAGCGTGGCTGGAGACTAGGATCGACACCTGCACGTGGTCTCAGGAGGATTTTTGTTCTAGGTCTTAGCTTCCCACGGGCGGTCGCCGTGGGGCGCCGGGTCTGTGCGGAGCCGCCGGCCGAGCCGGACGCCGCCATCTCCGCTGGACTCCGAGGAGCAGCGCTGCTTCCCGTGCAGACTCCGCGGCCCGGCCGCCCGGGAGCAGGGTGCCGCCGCCCAGCGACGGGCCGTGGCCAGGACTGGCCTTGAGGCCGGGGGCAGGAGGGTGGCCTCGCCCAGGCCGGTAGCTTCTTCCCGGGGCCCTTCCGAGGATTCGGCGGAAAGCAGCAGCCGCAGCGCCGTCCTGTCCCACCGAGTCCCACCTCCAGCGTGGAGCCTCCAGCCTCCACCTGCGGCACAGCTTTGGGGAGGAGGAGCGAGCCGGGGACGGCCAGCTCTGCGCTGCCGGGGCTGGAGGCGTTTGCCAGGTAGCGGCGGAGACACGCCTGTGTTTAGCGATGAGAGTCGCCCCAGCTCCTTGCACTCGGGCTGGGGTGTCCTGCCTGGTGGCCGCACCCCTGCCTGCCCTCCCGGAGCCCCCAGATTCCAGCTTCTGCTCGGGCACAGACCGCCTGCCTTCTGGCAAGGACTGATCGTCGCCACTGCTGCGGGGCTTTCGGTTTCCCCTTCCTTCGGCAGCCGCCTAGAGGCACGGATGTGTGGGGCGCTTCCGGCTTTGACCCTGTCCCCGCCCCACCCCGGGTGGGGACGCTTCGCCTCTGCCTGTGCCCCTTGCTGTGTTCTCCACCCTGAGCGGCGTCACTCAGTTTTACCAATCGAGCATCTGTACCAGGCAGCGTAACTTTTGATTTTTGGTCTATTTGTTTTAATCTCTTTTGTCACCAATAAAATCTCATTAATAAACAGTTCTTGCCTTCACCTGGGAGCCGAATGCACTGCGGGGCCGGGGGCGGGGGGCGCTGGCTGGAGGGGGTGGTGGGTGTGGAGGGGGCTGATGGCAAAGTCGGGAGGGCCTGAGGGAGCTGCAGGAGTGAGCAGGGCCCCGCGGCTCAGGGTCACCGCGGGATGGGGGCGGGGCGCGCTGGGGCCGAGTCCTCCTCCCCACCCCCACGAGACAAGAGCCAAGGAACGAGGGAGCAGACCACGCGGTGTTTATTGTTGGTTCCACGTCCCCCCCTCCCGGTCAGCGGCAGCCGCACTCGTCCACCACCATGTCCTCATAGTGCCGCAGCACCACGTTGTCGCTGTTGTCGAAGAAGAGCATGGAGATGGGCGACAGGCGCGCGGGCACGCAGCAGGGCAGGCCGCCGGCGCCCGGGCTGGCCCCGTGCATGAGCGCGCGCAGCACAGCGTGGTTGAGGGCCGGGGGCCCGCCGGGCCCGGACAGCGCCGCGGGCAGCGCGCACTGGCCCTGGCAGTAGTTGGCCAGGAAGCCGCGCGGCGCGATGACCCAGCGGTGCCAGCCCACCTCGCGGAAGCTCACGTAGAGCCGCCGCGCGCGACACGCCCCCCCGAGGCCCCCGCCCGCCGCAGGTTCGGCCTCGCGCCGGGGCCGGGCCAGAGGGTGGCACAGCCGCGGGTCCAGCGTCACCAGCAGCAGGGAGGCCTCGGCCAGGCGCGCGCAGGCGGCAGGGCCCCGGGGGCGCAGCGCCAGCGCCAGGCGGAGGCTGCGCGGCACCGAGGCGTTACGGGCCCAGGCGGCGCCCAGCAGCTCTGCGCGCACCGGCGACTCCAGGGCGGGCACCGCCTGACGGAGCAGCACCGCCCCGGGGCCCGGGCCCGCGGCCTCGCCAGCCTGCGCCACGCTCAGCTCCCAGCCGCTCGCCGGGGCCGCCGCCGCCGCGAAGCGCAGCTCCAGGCGAGCCCGGCTCGGGCGCTCGGCGGGGTCCACAGCCGACAGGTCGAAGACGACGGTCCAGGCGGGGCACTGCCCCGCGGCCGAGGCGGGCTCCGGGGGCCGGGCGGCCGCACCTGGAGAGGAGAGGGAAGAAGACTCAGCTGGCGCTGCGCCCCCGCCCAGTGCCCAGCCTGCCCGCGATGGGGTCTCGGTTGGGGACAGGGAGGAAGGTGAGCGCCCGGGGCTGCCGGCCAGATCTGTAGGAAGGCGTCGAGCAGTGTGAAGCGCTGGGGTGGCGGTGACAGGGTTGGGGCAGGGCATGAGTTGAAAGGAAGGGCCCTGCGGGGTGCGGGGAGGTGGCTGCCCTCCCTTGGGGGCTCAGGCGGGGGCGCGGAGGGCGGGCATGGGCAGGAGCCGTGGCATCCGCAGGAAGGCACCGAATGGTGCGAAGTGGGGGTGGGGTGCGGTGGAGTGGGGGCAGGGATTCAGCCGCCAGCAAGGGCCCTGCCGGTGCTCGGGGCCTGATCTTGGTAGCCTCCTGGCGGGTGTCCCCGGTGTGCGGAGGACAGGGAGGGGGTGGGGTGCGGGGGCCCAGGCTGCTCGCGGGCCTGGACGTGGCGGGCGGCGACTCCGGGCACCGCTGCCGCCTCCCCTCCCACGCTCGAGGCTCGCCCCTCGAGCTCTCAGCCTTTGGGACCGAAGCCCCCAGCGAAGACCCGGCCTACTCACCTCGGTCCGGAATGTGGCGCACGATGTTTCCGGCGACCCCCAGCTCCTCCACGTGGCACGGTCGGAGGGTGGTCCCCGGGGGCGTCCGCCGCAGGCCCGACCTTGTCTCCTGGGGGTCGCGGCGGCGGAACAGGCGCCACATAACCGGGGGGACGGACCGGAGCGTGGGGGCGCCCTGGGGCGCATCGCGCAGCCCGAGGGCCCGGAGCAGGGCGGCGGCGGGGCCGGGGGGCACAGGCGCGCGGGCCGGGCATGGCCGGGGCGGCAGCAGGGCCAGGAGGAGGAGGAGGAGGTGGCGGCCAGGGCGTGGGCACAGCGGGCGCATCTTCCTCCCAGGCGATGGCCGGAGTGCGCGGGGTCGCCGCGGCCCCCGGCCAGTGGGCTGGGGAGGGGCCGAGGCCCCGGGGGTGTGGCCGCGGGCCGGAGGCGGGGTCTGCGGGGGCGGGCCGGGGTCCCAGGGGACGCGGCCAGGAATGGCTGAGCCGGGAGGAGCGGAGCTGGCCGGAGCCAGGCTCCCGGGGGAGGGGGCGTGGCCGGGGTCCCGGGGCCGGGGTCCGTGGGGGCGGGGCGGGGGTCCGTGGGGGCGGGGCGGGGCATCAGAAGCGCCTGTTTTTCACCAGGCCGTTCCGCAGCGGCTTCCTGGGGGCCAGAAGCGGCGGGTTAGCCGTGGGGCCCCACGCCCGCGCCTACGCCCCACCCGGGGCCTCCCTGTCCTCTGGTCTCAACGCCCCCCAGGTGCCTTCACCGGATCAGGCCCGGGCCCCGCCCCACGTTTCCTCCTCGCGCGATCACCCTACCGCTGTGGACGCGCCCGCAAGACCCCGCGGGTCGTCCCTGCACCCTGCGCGTCGTTCCCGCCTCCCTGGGCCGCTGCGGGGCACGGGCCACCCGCCAGCCTGGGCCTCAATCACCCCCGCCAGGCGAGGCCTCTCTGCGCGGGACGCACGCGGCAGACCCTCCTCCGCTCCCGGGCGCAGTCCCCTGCCGCCCGCCCCACGCAGGCTGGTCCTGGGCTCCGGGGGCCGCAGCCAGCTCTCCCCACCCACCCCCTTCCTCTGCCGCCTCCCACTGTCCTCCATGTCCTTAAAACACGTTGCCGTGTTCTAAGAACCCTCATCAACGCGGCAACGCTCCAGCGTAAGGTCCCAGAGAAAGACCCCTAACCTCCAAACGGGCTGCGTGCTGCAAACTCCACAGCCCTCTTCTCCTGCAACTCCTGTCCCCCCAGAACTGCCGTCCCGAGTCCCCTTCCCTGTGGCCGCTGCTGCTCCCGGGAAAATTCCATTTCCCTGGGAGAGGCAGCAGCGGGGACCCGGGGCCTGGCGAGGAAGGGACCCCGCTGGGGGTCTGCCCAGGCGCCCCCGCCCCCGCTGAGTCGCGCCCCGTCCAACCGCGGTGGCATCTTGGCCTTGAGGCTGGAGGCCAGGCCCGCTCTGCCCGGCGCGCGCCGCTCCCGCCCTGGCAAACGTCCTCTGGGGGTCCGTGTAGACGCGGCTCCCACAGCGGCGCTCGGAGAGGTCCGACCGCTGAGCAAGTGTGAAGAGCTCGCGGTCGCCCCAGCGGCCCCTGCGAAAGCGTCCTGCCATGGTGCGTCCTGGCGCGCGGGAGGAGAGCCCGCCGTGCGCGGCCGCCCTGTGCCCCGCGGGTGTGCGCAGCGCTCCGTCCGTCCTGGCGACCCCTCCGGAGCAGCGGCTGGAACTCTCCCAGGGAGGTCGCCCCTGCTCACTCTAGTTCGCTCTTCCCTCGGGACTGAGGCGCGGCCGAGGAGCGGAGTCCGGTCCTGTGGGTGGGGGGTCTTCATCTCTGGGGAGGGGAGCCCTGCTCAGACGGCTTTGCCTGGGGTCCTTCAGAGCAGGAGCCTCCGTCCCTCATCCACCGTTGGGGCCTCTCTGTTCTTCTCACAGTGAAACGCCTTTCTCGATGCCTCAGTGTGACTCAGTCTCCCATTTCGGCTCAGGGATGACCCTGCTCCGACACTGACACTTTTGGCACGCAGCGGCGGATTTGCGCTGGGGGCTGAAGCGACACAAAGACACACCTTTGCTCTTTCCTCCAGAGGGCCCCCAAGTGTTGTCCCAGGGCCATCCCAGCCGACCCTCCTTCCCTCTGGGCGCTTTGTTTTTTTTTGAGACAGAGCCTCACTCTGCTGCCAGGGCTAGAGTGCTGCGGAGTCAGCCTCACTCACAGCAACCTCCAACTCCTGGGCTCAAGCGATCCTCCTGCCTCGGCCTCCCGAGTACCTGGGACTACAGAGGCATGCGCCGCCATGCCCGGCTCATTTTAGCTGTCCAAGTAATTTCTTTCTATTTTTAGTGGAGATGGGGTCTCACCCTTGCTCAGGCTGGTCTCGAACTCCTGAGCTCAAACGATCCACCCGCCTCAGCCTCCCAGAGTGGTAGGATTACAGGCGTGAGCCGCCCAGCCCAGAACATTCTTCTAAGACTGATCACATCCTAGGCCACAAAAATGTGTCTCAACAAATTTTTAAAAATACAAATTATACCATGTATCTTCTCAGACCACAAGTGGAATAAAATTAAAATCAACTCCAACAGAAACACTCATCTCTACAGAGTCATGGAAATTAAACAACCTACTGCTGAATGATTATTAGGTCAAGGAAGAAATTAAAATGGAATCAAAAGATTCTTTTAACTAAATAACAAAGGGGACACAAGTTACCAAAATCCGTGGGATTCTGCAAAAGCAGTCCTAAGAGGAAAATTCATAGCCTTAAATGGCTATGTCTAAAATACAAAGAGATCACAAATCAACAATCTAATGAATTGTCTCAAATTGGAAAAGGAAGAGCAAACCAATCCAAACCCAACAGAAGAAAAGAAATAACTAAGGTCAGAACAGAACTAAATGAAATAGATTCCAAAAGAATTATACAGAAGATTAATAAAACAAAAAATTGGTTCTTTGAAAGGACAAACAAAATCAATAGCCCTCTCATTAGGTTAACAAGAGACAGAAAAGAAAGGACCCTAATAAGCATAATCAAAAATGAAAAAGGGGCCGGGCGCGGTGGCTCACGCCTGTAATCCTAGCACTCTGGGAGGCCGAGGCGGGCGGATTGCTCGAGGTTGGGAGTTCGAAACCAGCCTGAGCAAGAGCGAGACCCCGTCTCTACTAAAAATAGAAAGAAATTAATTGACCAACTAAAAATATATATACAAAAAATTAGCTGGGCATGGTGGTGCATGCCTGTAGTCCCAGCTACTTGGGAGGCTGAGGCAGGAGGATTGCTTGAGCCCAGGAGTCTGAGGTTGCTGTGAGCGAGGCTGACACCACGGCACTCACTCTAGCCAGGGCAACAAAAGTGAGACTCTGTCT